GAGGAGCGCGAGAGAGGCGGATCCCAAAACACCGGAACCAAGCTGGTGTTCATCCCGAATCTGAATAAGCGCGACCCCCATGAGCTCAACGTTTCCACGGAAGCATTCATCGCCCACCACGCGAGGTTTTACACCATCACTCAATTCGCAGTCATGTGTGCCTACCGCTTCATCCCGGGCAACCAAGTACCGATCATCATCGGGCACAGCGGATCATACGTCCCGGAAGGGAGCGTCGAAAGAATTTTGGAGGTCATGACCAGTTTCATTCGGGCCTCCTGGATCAAGTTCGACTCCCAGGGCACCATCAGCACCGGTGAACTGGAAATCCCGCGGTTTTCCTCCGGCCGGACGCGGACCTATCCTGTTGAGGCGAGGAACACCCAGTGGAGGGCGATCACCCGGTCCATTCGCCCCGAGCCCTACAGCAAAGGAAAGGGCAAGGGCAAAGGCAAGAGCACGGGGCGTCAGGACTGGAGCTCTTGGTACGGGTGGTCCTCTGGATGGCATCAATGGCGTCAGGGCCCGTGGGGATGGTGAGCGCCCGCATCAATTACAAAAGTTTGCTTATGTTGCGGTAACCATTTCAATTTCATTGGTGATGTCATGTTCAAAACTATTATCTTTCATCCATTGATGCCGCAACATTAGCAGTGCCAAGTTTGCACGCCCGGCGGAAGCTGCGGCCGTAGGTCAATCCACGGCCGCCACCACCGGATGTCATTTCAGTATTGCCCAGCGGAAGCTGTGGTCGTGAGATCACCTTCGCTGATGGCAACAGTGTGAATTCAGTTTCAAGCATTCACATGGAAATCACATGTGTTTTGCCCGACGGAAGTCGTGGTCGGCCGATTCGGATGGCACGCTCCTGCAAAAGTCCAAATGCATCGCAGTTGCAGCGACCAGTGACGCATGAGGCCTCATATCACCATGGCTTGCCACCTATCCTACTGAGGCTCTACGTCTTCACTGCCTTGACCTCAGAGGACTTTGCTTCAGGCATGGGGGGAGAAACGTGTACAAAGTACTGTTCTCACCAACGCACCTCTGCAAAGCGGGGGGTGTTGATAGGTAATGGCATACTGACATGACAATTGGCTCAAGAAAAACAAGCTGCTGCCCGTGCTGACTTTTAGGTAGATCCCACCTTTCAACACCTGCATACTTGTAGCAACGTATTGCTATCACAACCTGGCTGCAGTGATCCTACTTTTGTTTTATTGCGCATCAGTTTATTGAATGCAGAAATCCAGAATAACCGGAACAAACATAGATGCTCTTGTTGGATGCTGCGAGGGGGAAAATTAAGAGGACACCAAACCTGTTCAGGGAGACTGTACTTTTGGATTACATTTCAAGTACATACCTCACATTCCAACCGTCGGCTACTGGAAGCAGTGCCCATAGGGGACAGGTGCAGCGCGGAGGTCCTTCTGGTTCTTTGGGAAGGATCACAATCTTTGTGCCGGATGGGGTACTTGGATCTGGGAGTTAGCTAAGTTAGCAACTCTGGTAACCCGCCAAAGCCATGGTTGCAAGTCCCCTACCAACGAACCATGTAGCGATTCGTCTATCTCGGGGGAAGGCGCAGTACTTGCGCCGAGGTACGCGGCCCTGCGCTGCCGGCACTGTGAGGTGTCAACCGAGGCCGCGGTGAGGTAAGAAAAGGCGTCGGGTTGTCGTTTGGCGGGCTCACCAAGTTCAGGGGTAAAACAAGCTATAAATTTGCAGATAACTTGCCAGTAGATACTGGCACTACGGAGCACAGGCACAACTGAACAGTTGTAGAAACGCTTCCAGTGGCAACGGACAATAACAGAAGCGGATCTCTGCACATTCTGCAATCAAAAGCAATAGCCTCTCCAAAATCGATGGCATTGCAAACGGTTTGGTAATAAGCAATGTTCCACGCATACATACTCACACAGACATACACACACATACATACATAAATACATGCATGCACACACGCACATCCATCCATCCATCCATCGATCCATCCATCCAGACAGACAGACATACGTACATACACACACACACACATGCATGCATTCATGGATCCATCCATACCTACCTACCTACCTACATGCGTATGTTCGTACGTACATACGTACATACACATACTTACGTTACGTTACGTTACGTTACCTTACGTTACGATACGTTACATACATACATACATACATGCATGCATACATGGATACATACATACAGACAGACATACACACATACATGCACACACACATACACACATACATACGTACATACGTACATACATACATACATACATACACACACACACGCATACATACATACATACATACATACATACATACATACATACATACATACATACATACATACATACATACATACATACACACACAGACACAAACACACACACATACACACACACACACGTACATACACACACATACATACATACATACATACATACATACATACATACATACATACATATACATACATACATACATACATACATACATACATACATACATACATACATACATACATACATACATACATACATACACACATACATACATACATACATACATACATACATACATACATACATACATACATACATACATACATACATACATACATACATACATACATACATACATACATACATACATACATACATACATACATACATACATACATACATACATACATACATACATACATACATACATACATACATACATACATACATACATACATACATACATACATACATACATACATACATACATACATACATACATACATACATACATACATACATACATACATACATACATACATACATACATACATACATACATACATACATACATACATACAGGCACATACATACACATGCATACACGCAAACTACACAAGACAAGACAATGCAAGGCAATGCATTGCAACGCAATGCAATAGTATGCCATATGTCATATACCATACATACATGCCTACGCACATGTGTCCCTGATATTTTGATTCAGGACACAGGATCACAGACATGTCGCATCAATGGTCTGTTTTGAGACTTTTAACCAGATGCGACTTAGATCTCAAAATCGTGCCGGGTAGGTGTGTATTTTTTGCAAGGGCGTGGTGACAATCGAAACACACACACACACACACTTAAAGAATCGTCTAGTTATTCCAGTAGTGCCAGTACTGCTCCATTTCAAGAATATTAGAATAAATAGAAGGAACCAGAACATAGAACTGCCTAACCAATCGCATGGGCGATTGCAGTGTTGGTTGTAGTCCAGCTTGCGTGTCAGCTCACTATTTGAACATGTTCAATCAGTTTGAACATCTGTCAAGTTGCCGGTTGTGTGTTGAATATTGCTGCACCGCTCTTTTGAGAGTTCATGTGAATCATAAGTTGGCTAGTTATTCATATTATAACATTTATTTTGAAGTTTATAACCAAGAGGGACACTGTTTCATGCCCAGACCCCAAAACATGAGTATGAGTTCCGGAGTTTGACTCTGTCACACACACACACACTGCCAGCTAGGCAACACATGAGCGACCTAAGATTTTTGAGAAGGAGGCTGAAATCGTGGGAATCTCAGCATTTCCAGGCGCTGGAAGGTGAAAACCTCAAGAGGCGACCATGCCCAGGCGTGGCTGTGCGCGGCCAAGTATGCAAACATATCTATACATGCCTAAGAATAAAGACGTATACATACATTTATATTTACGCATCTCCAGTGGATCAGTTGAGAGCATGTGCACCATTGCGCGACAAAGACCGGGCTTGGCGTTTTCAAGTAAGCGATGCTGAGAGCGACCCTGCTCGCCACAGGCTCGAGACTGCACAGAACAAGCAATGAGACGCCGTCGGAAAGTAGACCGGCAGGTGATGTGATTTTCGCACCATCGGCCATTTTCTGGGACGAACAAGCTTCATAGACGCATATTTCTTAGACTCTTGCATGGGTGGGATCAGGCGCACCGGAGAATCTTCGTCAGCGCAGCTTCAGACGAAAGCATCAGCTCGCAGTATCTTCTCGCTCGTCCGGAGCCGAGTAGTCGCGCAGGCAGGGCGGGGACTCGTTTCATCTTGTCAGTTTTGGCCGTTCGTCAAAAGAAAATAGTTACCCCCCCCTTTCCTGCGGGGGCAGGGGCTTAGGTTTTCTCCCTTACCTTGGGAGTTTTTGGAGGGGTACACTCTTCTGGGCATTTCAGGTGTTGGGTTTAGAGGTAATGCCACCAATTTAATCTTGCACTTAAACAAGTGGTATCCTCCGTACCTCCAAAACCCATACCGTTTTACGAGGGTTCCCAGATGTCACTGCTAAAGGGCCCGGAGGCCGACCTGGTGCACATTCTGAGCAATTGGTTTAGAGCCACAAGTTGATCCCTTCTTTTTGTTTGTCCTTTAATCCTTTTTTCCCCTACTGTTGGTCACTAATGGTCAGATATCGGTGGGCCAAGCGATGCAGTATGAGAAAGGACTCGTTGTTCTTCAGCTGCGAAGGATACGCCCAATTTTCGCGGCAAGGCCCATGAGGCGCTGACAGGCGTGGCCAGGGCATCCAGCTCACGCGAGAGGTGGGCCTTGGGATGAGCAGTTCGTCGCTTTTTGGTTGCGGCTGTTGGTTTCATCGGGCAGGCCCCCGTTGGAACGGAATTCGTGTTTTTTTTTGCCGCGGGTAGGACAATCAGGCGGCAAACCGTTATACCGAGTTCGGAGCCCAATCAGTTGGGTGCGTGCTTGGGCAGCGACGCCATGTTGGGTATGTATTCTATGTCCTCTTTTGGTTTCCCTTTTCTCCCAACCCAAGGGGACAAACACAACAACAAGAGGAACAAACCCCATTTAAGGGGAAACAAACAACACCCTAAGGGCAACAAAAAAACCCACCCCAGGGGAAGCAAACCCCACCCGAGGGGACACACCAAACCCTAAGCGAAACGCCGCCGGTTTCCGCGGCTCGCGTTTTGACGCGACGCGGAGGCCATGGAGCTGAGCTTCAAGAACTTCCGGGCCCCCATCGCCATGGCCCCCCGCGAGAAGGCGCCGGCCGCGACGGCCGCGGTGTGACGCGGCGACCCGGTGAAGCGGTTCGCGTCGTTCTGGGGGGTTTCGAAAGGGACAACTACCCTCCCACCAACGGGAAAATGGTCCACTTCAGGACTCCCCGAACGTCAGGTTCCATGGAATACCTTTTCATGCATTTGGTATGAGGGGTTCCAAACGGCGAAGGCCTACGGCGAAACTCCAGGGATCAGGGTTTGTTTTACCGGCATTGCAACAGCACACCATGTTCATTGCTGGCCTTGTGGAGAGACTTTTGGGCAATGGCTTTTCCCCAAAGCCAAGCAAGGCTGAGACTCGAGCTCTTGCTGGTTGGGGCCTTGCTTGTCCTTGGCCTTCGGTTTGCAATGTGGCTCGGTTCTCATGAGCTTGGATTCCTTTCTTGGAGGCCCTTTTGGCGGGGCATGGATCTACAGAAACCAAAAGGACGCCACCCAGTTCGGGGATTTTCGCCATGAGACAAACTTACTGATTTGGAGTCCGCAAAGCAAACCATAGGAGCCGAGCGACCAGGGATTAGGGACCATAAAAGGACCTCATTGCTCGCGTTACAGCTCTGAATCAGACATAATCCCGCCAATTTCATGGTGAGCTTAGCGGTTGCACCATTCTGTAGGTCCTTTGGCAACAGCCACCAGCCATCCAAATCAAGCTCTTTGCCAAATCGCCTCAAAGATCATCCTAGCTGCATACTTTATCTCGAGCTCACCTGGGGCCAAAACGAGCTCACCATAGTACAGATCCTGTACTTGGTGATCCAATTCTTATTTCAGGTTTTGAAGATATTGTAAAAATTGCAGATCCTTGGAATTCCCTTGCACTTGTTCTTCGCCGTTTTTCTGTTCATCTCAGGTAATCCTTAGTTGGTGGTTTGGATTGGTTTGGGATTTGAACCCTGGCTCTCTTTTTTTGGTAGAGAGTACATGCGAAACCCCTCCTTAACCACCAAACCACCGGGCTCCAAACCGCCAAGTAGAGAGAAGCTGACCAAAAGTAACCTCCAAGAGTCGGAGCAGCTCGGTCCTACGAGGGCGATGTTGTAATAAAGGCGAGGGTGTGTCACAAAGTTCAGGGCCTGTGGTTCACGCAGCAAGCGACCAATGTTTGAGCATCCCCATACCTACAGTAAGAGTTCTGTTCAGTGACTGTGGCTGCGGGGGGGGCGACTAGGTGGGCCACGCTACCCCTTTCACCTTGGTTCAAAGGGAAATCGAAAGGGACATCAATCATTTTTTGGGTTACAGTTCCACTATTTCGAGACATACCCAAGTATACATGAATCACAAGTAGTTTCTCCCTGTGTTTTTTTTTCAGTGCTCTTTGAGTACACTCGGTTGACACTGTGGATGGACGAAATCCTGCATCACCTAAGAAACCCTGGTTTCTGATGATTGCCCTGTAAATACCCACAAACCATGGTTTCAACCATGGTTTCCAAGTGCTGCGAAATGGATTTCGTCCATCCGCAGTATCCCACCGGGTGATCCACAGAAGCCACGAAAGGCTTCCAGCCGTTTCCGAGCGCTTCCGTCAGGAGGAGCACTACCACGGCGCCCGGATCCGGAGCGTCACCGTGAACCTTGTGGCCCGGGAGCGCGTTGACGTCGGGAGGTGGTCCCAGAGCTCCCCCAAGATATGGCGGTGGGTCAAAACCAACGGGCTTTTGACCCATGGTCATATGGTGTTGAGTCAAAACAACCGCCTATGGGTCTGGACCGTCAAAAAAGTGGGTTCTCTAGAAATAGGGGTAGCCATGTACTGCAATGGTTGGTTTGTCTTCTTGTTTCCCTTTCAATACCAACCAACAAGGGGGGGGGGTCCAGTATTTTGTTCAGAAACTCCCTTTTCTGGCGGGGGGTTATTCCCATATATTTACTCTCCAAAGTTGAATGGCTACCTTTGGGCAAGGCTTGGCACCTCATATCTTGGTGGTTCCAACCATCCCCCATAGGCTTTGAGGGTTTTAGTTGGTAGAGTGGTTGGGTTTCCACATATATAATATATATTCTCGGCATCCAAGGACAGCCCAGATATCTTTGCCCTTGACTCGCTTCGTGATGTCAAGTTTTCACTTGATGATTATCCGATTTAACTCCCAGGTTTAGGGTTCACCGTTGACCAACAAATCTGATCTTTTTCTTGGGGGTCGAGGGGGTAGTTTCCATTTGTTTGTTGAAGTCGCCAGGAAATATCCACCTGTTCTTTTGGGGTGGGTATTCTGCTATTCCCATTTATGGAGTTGACAACCAAAGGGTCTTTGCAGAGGGTATCAATGATCTAGGGCATAGCTGTCTTCTTTTTGTCGGTCAGAGTTGAACATAAGTTGGTCTCACTGGTTCTAGCTTGGTTCTAATCATTTGCCAGTATCAGTTGTTTGTCCAAAAGAAGAGCTAAGTTTGAGGATGCACACGTTTTGGGTTGACTTGAAGGGAAGGCAACCGAGAAAGGCTCGACGATCCTAGGCTTGCCAGGGCTTTTCACCATGGCTAGTTTTTGTTGGTTTCCAAGGGCAAACATGGTTCTCTCTCTTGCCTAGTGGATCCCAGGCAAGCCCGTATAGTAGGTACCCAGATATGTTCCTTTTGGTTTTCAAAGGGTGGCTCCCTTGGTCACCTCTATAGAGGTAAACAGATCCAGGTCCTTGATTTGTCCGTTTCCAGCTCGCTGTCTGAAATCAGACAGCGGCAGCTCACTCGGAGCGAAAGTTGATGAGCAGGCCCCCGGCCCTGGCCGGCAGGCAGTGCCTATGTTTGACAAATGTCAAGAATGGTCAAATATCCTTTGTGCTTAGGTGAGGATGGTGATGGCCTCAGGGATTTTGGACATGATTCAAGAGAATTCATGTCCCGCATCAGCTTTGGCTTTGAAAGAGTGTTGATGGCTTGTTCACGACCATCCCAGTGCATCCCAGCCCATATGTGTAGTAGGGTTTCACCTTCCCTATTTTCCGTTTGGTTCCTATATATCGGGTTCCCTTGCTTACCCAACCAACACCAGGTAAATGATTCTCCCCAGAGCAAGTGGCGATCCGCTAGGCCACCTACCAGGAGTGCAGCGATGAGTTTGGGTACAGCGAGAAAACGGCTCCTCGGCGCGTCCTCACCAAGCTCTCCAAAGGCGAGGTCTCGCGACTCATGGCGAGAGGAGGGTTGGAGGGATGGAGGGGTTCTGTTGAGGTTCGGTGCCTTTGGTTTTTTTTTGGGGGGGGCGTTACAGCCAGGGTTACTGACATTTTTGGCTGAGTTTCAGCCATCTATGTACTTGTTCTTTTCCGGGTGGGGGGAGGGGGGGTCGAAGGTTGAACGGTAACCAAAAGGCGCTTGCCACCATTTTGCGGGGGTGAACCCATTTTGAGACAGGGGAAACCACCATTATGGTCCCATGGATGGGGGAGCTCGCAAAATTGCAAGCAGCCGGGGGACTGGCGCACTTCCCACATCCCTTACTGGAAACAAGTAGTTTTGACCATAGCTTAATGGGGAAATTGAGCCCTCTGAATGGGCGTTTTCCTTTCAGTGTACCTTCAAAACAACCCCAAAAGAGTATTATGTATCCTCCAGAACAACAACGCGCGCACACGCACCTGTTCCTCTCCCATAAATTACAAGAAGGCAGTCCTTAGAAAGGGGTTTGGTCCCAAACGCAGATACCTTTTCATAAGTTTCTGGTGCGTTATGTCGAGTACATTGAGTACATGGCCACACGACGTCGCACAATGTGTCGCACACACACACACATGCGCTTGAGGGCTGTGTAGCAAAGCCAAGGCGGCCTTTGCCAAATGAGGAGTAATGTAGGGGTAACTGGGTGCGTGTGTAACAAACACATAGGGGGACCGGGACCCTAATGTGGTGAGTTTGCTTTGCTTTCGGTGTTCCTTTAAACTAAGGTGAACAGGGTACCCGCAAAAGCGTAGATAGAGGTGTTGTCAAAGGAGTCAGCTAGACGCTTTGGCGATTTCGGTGATTCCAGCGAAGCATTTGCGCAGACTCCAGCCCATGGACTTAAGTCCGTGACAGGTGTCTACAACGAAAACCACGACAACGCTGAGCACGACTACATTTGTAGAGCTGCTTGGTCAGCTCTTGCTGCTCACGGCTTGAAACAAACTGATCGATCGTTTCAGAAGATTACTTTTGGGTCGGCAAAGCCCGGTATCGGACGGTTGCACCCAAAACGATGCAAGATCCGAAAAGTCGACCGCTTCAATTCACGGCTGGGAACGTCACCATGCTCTAAATACCCCTTGGTTTTGACTAAACTGGGCTTACGCGTGCCAGTGAGCATCGAAGACTGAGATGGATTGAGCCAGGCGGCTAGGGTCTGGCGGCAAAAACAAGAACTTGTGATGAAGGGTGCCTCGATCGCGGGGTTGACTGGCTTGTGCAAGGCACATGTGTGGCAAGCAACCAATCATGTTTGTTGACATCCGGTGCTGTTTGCCCGTTGCAAGGGCTTGTCATGACATGACAGCTTGTGCCTGCAGAATCCTGGCGCCAGAAAGATACGAGATGCCATGAGTGGTTTTGTTGGGGATACAGTGGATGGACGAAATCTATTTTGCACCACCTAAGAAGCTCTGGAATGATGATTCCCGCTACATACCAACAAACAATAGTTTCCCATGGTTTCAAAGTGGCAGACCGAGCCAGCAGCCGATCGTCCGTGTCTGAGGTTGGGGATAAGATCGAGAACCCCGACGGCCATTCCTACGAAATCCTCGAGCGCTTGGGTCACGGCACTTTCGGCCAGGCGACGGAGAAACTGCGGGCTGGAGATGGGCACCCAGCTCCCTCTACTCGGGGGGGAAAAAACACGGCCCAACTTTGATTTTGTGATATGGTTTGAGTCCTTGGCTCCATTTACCAGGGCAAGCCATGTTGGGTACCCTCCCACCAATTAACATGGAACCTGACAGGGTGTGCTTTAAAAGGAAAATTGTCTTCCTTGACCCTGTCAGGTTCCATGTTAATGAGTGGGAAGGTACCTATTTTTGACAGAGCCACAGCCATTTTGAACAGAGCCGAAGCCACGTCGTGCAGCCCACGGCGGTGATGGCCGAATGTGGGTGGGCAATGTAGAGGTTCTCGTGAAGCGATGTGACTGCGCAGTGTGCGGAATGCAGCCTTGAGCTTGGTATATGGTTGACTCCCAAAATGGATCCAGGCTTTCCCCATTGCGGTTGACTTGTCTTCACCGCATATGTTCTTCGATTAATCATTCCCGATTTCGGGAAGTCCAAGTGCGAAGCTGAGGAGCTCGAGCTTGCGAGACTCCCTGAACAGTCATAAGGGTGTGTCGTTTTTGAGGCTGCCCCTTGTGAAAGCGAAACCAAAAGGAAAACCACCTTTTGGGGGACCCCGGTCCCCAAAGAGAGACACAAACCCAGAAGTTGCCAGCATAGCTGCGCAGGTTCTGAAGTGTCACCACTCGGCCTCGGGCAACCACGTAGCCCAGCGCTGAGAACTTTGTGGCAGACCCCCAGCGGGTGTTTCCTGGCCTGAGAAGCCGTGACAAGGAAACCTATTTGTGTTCCCATATCTGTTTTGAACACGTGTGATCAATCCCAAACAATCCATGTGTGCAATATTTACTCACATGTACCCTCATGCGTCAAGTGTTGTTTTTTTGTGACCCACATGGATTGTGTGGGAATTTTATACCGATAGGACACCTGTGCTTTCCCCCCAAAGCCTTCCAATCCTTGAACGCCTCTGCGACACACCACTTAAAAGAGCTGCGCGGACGCCCGAGGCTCTGAAAATCATCAAGAACAAGCCTGCCTACTTCCACCAGGCCAATCGATCGCGGTCAGAGAAAACGCCCGTCACTGAAAAGTCCCCCCAAGATCGTCTCTTGGGTTGGTCTCAAACGGCAGAGAAGGAGACCCAGCGAGTGCTAGGCATTTCATGGGTTGGTCAAGAATTGCCTCTTGGGTTGGTCAGAAGGACACCCAGCGATTGCCAAATGGTCCATTTTGCTGGATCTGAGCACAGCATGCGATCCCATCGAGGCCCTGGTGGAGGTCCGCATTTTACAGATGCTCAATCAGGTGCGGGTCCCAAACTGGGGTAGGGTCAGGCGGTCTCGGTGTTTGGTGGGACATGGCATGGCATTGTCCAAAGCTCCAGTGATGGATTTTGGGGTTTTGGGTTTTTTCACACAAGATTCTTTCATAGGACTCACTCGTTTGGGCCCAAAGGGTGGACATGCAGGTTGGGACTCTCAAACAAAATTAAATATTTGGGGTTGTTTACAAGGTATAAGGCCACCAAAATGCTTGGTTTTCTTTTGGTCTCCCTCTTTCTTTAGCTCTTTAACCAAAAGGGGGTCCACCAACAAAGGACACACCCATTTGTCCATGTCATTGGGGATTTCCGTGTTTGGCGCGTGAGAGCGGCTCTGACGAGTTGCGCTAGCGCTGTGGCCGAACGTCTGGATGGTTCTTGCAGTTCCTTGGTCCAATGCCAAACTTGAACACTGGCGACCACGTAGTGTGTGTTTCTTGAGGGTTTGAGGGTGGTTTTTTGGTTGGGATCGAAAAGGGGAATCATGCCATTTTGGGAGTTCCCCATTGTGACACAACTTTTGAGTCTGAGTTGCAAATGGGGTCCAAGATGAAAGCAGGCATAGCATTCGGTCGCAAAGTTCCACCAGATGGCTTTCATCCATGAAACTCTTTGCAGGGGCATTTTGAGATCCCCTCCAAATGCATGATTTCCGCCTCCTTTGTGCTAAGTAATTTTAATGTCTACTTGGAGACAAGTACCCTGAGCATTTGTAAGTCCCGTTCAGCCAGCCCCAGCCAAAGTCTACTGGGGATACTGTGTTTTTTTTTACCTGCCGCGTAGGTGACTTTGGTAAAATGGGGCCAGGTCTATTGGGTTGAGCCGCCCCAGACCAATTTTAAATCAAGCATTTTCGGGGACGAATCCGATTTTGTTGAGAGACTCCCATGCGAGTTTCCTTGAGAGTGCCCTAAAACAAAAAAGGGCTGGATTGTCACCCAACTAACTTGAAAACCATCGCGGCTCAAACCGATTGGCGGCAGGAGTATGATCCGGAGGATGAGAAGAGGCGTCGGGCATAGCTTGAGACTTCATGAAGCATTTGGTCCCTGGGCAACTCAGGATGTATCTGCAAAAGGTTCCAACACTTGCTGGTTCTCAGCAGGGAATGAGAAATGGAATGACCCCAGGGATGGTGGTTTCCTTCAAGGGAAACCCTAGGTTCATTCCCAAAACCCTGCATCATTCCCTACTGGCCCTACTGAGCACGAGCAAGAAAAAGGTGGTGTGAGCAAAAAATGGCGTCCGCTTTCCGTGTCCGGTGTAATCGATTTGCACAGAGAAAAAGGCTGGGCGCCAACCGTTGCAAAAAGGATGGTTGCACATCTCATGTGCCAGCTTTGGAGTATCCTGAATCCTAAATCTGGGGATGTCTGGATGTGTTTCTTATTCATCCCAGTTTGAGAACATGGCCCTTGGACCACAGACCGTGCCTTTCCGGCTCCCGGCAGCGCTCTCGTAAAGCGAGCCGTTGAAGACATTGAAGACACAAACAGACTCCTGGGGATCCAACAAAGTGCGTTGTTTTTGCTCGAGCTCTGCACAAGCCTTGGTTTTCTGAGGCAGGGCATGTCGAGAGTTGACCCTGAGGATCGTGCGCATGCTCGACTTCTTCGTCTATAGGCGACTGAACCCGTTGTCGAATCAGAGCGGCCTCGCTTGACTTAGCTGCATTTCTGGGGATGAGACACACTTGGACGGGGATGGTGACACATAGGCGTGGACTTATGTGTCCTTCAGGCTTTTGTCCGGTGGTGCACACTCATGCAACCAGACTAAGGGTTCACCCGAAAGCCACAGATAGACACACTTGGAGACTGGGTTGTTTGGCCAGAACAGGTCCTGCCACATTTACATGTGGCAGGGTGTCCATCAAAGTTGTGCTCCCAGTTTTACGGCGGTTTCCAGTGGCGGCCAAAATCGCCCGGGCGAATCATGGCAACCTACAGTGACTCAATGGGCTTAATTGGTCGATTGTACCTAGGGGGATTTCTCAAAATAGGGGAACCCCTTTTTGGACGGTTTTAAAGGGAAACCAAAAGGAAACTACCTACGTGAAGGGGTCCCAATCTTGAGAAATACCCCTTTGAATCAGCCTGAAACAGAGAGTCCCTGTCTTTTGATGTCCAAGCTGACGAATGTTGACTGGGTCGTTCAAAGGCTTAATCCCCGTGGCGAAACTGTTTGCCTTGTAGATTCCAATAAGGATTACGGAATACCCTCCCTCCCACAAAACAGTCGCTTTGACAGGAAGCTGATCTTCCAGGTTCCCTGCCAGAGGTGGCCTGCTTATGTCATTTTGTAGGCATGAGGTTTGGTTAGTGTTGCATTTTGCAGGGATTGGGCTTGGTTGAAGCTATTTTGGCTCTTGTGGCGCCTCTCGTTTGTCCTGGATTACGTTTGCACATGTTTGCATGGCTTGTGCTCATGTATGTTCACGTGTTTTCTCTACAGAAGGGTGTCTGTGCGGGCCACTTGGAGTTGGCAGGACTCAGAGAAAACGCCCCCACTACAAAATGAATTTAGAATTTGGGGCAGTCCAATGACATATCCCTAGCTTCAAGTTGCCATGTTTGTGGGGGGAAGGGTAATGATTTGTTTTCCGAACTGCCCCCATGGAGCCTCTGGAAGTTCCCCGTGTTCCGTCCTAAATTAGGGGCACCTAGCAAAGATGTCGGGTGCCTTTTGGTTTGCCTTCAAGCACACACACACACACAAGCGGGCGAGTACTTCAGACTGACACGCAAACTCTGGAAGTGTTCCGCAGCTTTCTAGCTATTTTTCTGCTTCTTTTTACTCACTTGCTGAGTTCCTGGACTTTGAACTTTTTGGCAAGGCCATGTTTGTGATGAACAAAATGTTTAGACTGTTCCTGGCTAATCCACTTAGGAAGTGATTTTCGCATGGCTTGCCAGTTTCCATTGGCTTCCCTGCCTGGCATTTTTTTGGGTCGGGTTCCATGCTAGAGCCATCGCCAGAAAGCACTTGTGCATCGCCTTTGAGCTGTTAAGCCTTTGCCTCAGAACGTCTCGTCTTTGAAATTGGGTAGCCTTCTGAATGGGAAAGGGACCCCAAAAGGACACACCCACACACCTCTCATTTTTGGGGGTCGATTTTGAGACAAACCCAGAGGTCGCAGAATTTTCATGGCCGGAACTTTGCTATGTTGAACCTTGCACTTGGGGAAGGCTCCAATAAAGTGATGCTGGATGAATTCTTTGTGAATTCCGGATTACTTTGCCATCAAGTAGGAGTAGCATTAACGGCCACCAACTGTGCCATGGTCAATACTTTTTGTTTTGTGTCGGATAGCGTTGTCCTCATTTCGGCCGCATAGACTCGTAGGGACCACCACTATTTTCTAGGATCCAAAGGAACGGCAGGCATGCCTGCAAGAAGCTTTGGCCACGGCACGGATGGGGTCAACCAACAATGCTGCAGCTTAAGCCCTTTTACTTGTAATCGATGCGAATCTGGATGACATTTTTTCGGGCAACAGGGAAACTAAAGCAACCCCAAAGTCGAATCAGCCACGTCATTCGCAGAAACCTGACCTCCGCATCCTAAATCCGACGCAAGGATTTAGACCCCTTTTGTTCGCTAAAGAAAACCCCTTGGGTTGAGGACGAGTCCGGCGGTTGCCTTTACGTTTAGCAGTGGATCCCAGGCATACCATATCTTGTAAGCCAGTTTCTTTCTAGGCTTCCTTTGGTTATATACAGAAAATTCATACGGCATAGTACCTGGACCATGAGATCAGAATATCGGATTCATCAGGAACGTACGCATTCCTTTTGAGCTGGAACATGTTTCCTCTCGACGATGTCCGTCTAATTCAGCTGGCGCACCAGCCATGGGATGCCCGTGACGAGCATTCTGTTTTTGGCGAGTTTGGAGAAGACGCCATGCGGGAGGTTTCTGGCTCCTACACATGCTTATTATTTACATACCGACCCGTGTCGGGGCACTTTCAGTCGCTGCGTGCGTGCATGTGCGTGCGTGCATGTGCGTGCGTGCGTGCGTGTGTGTGTGTGTGTGTCCCTTGAACCGGTTTTGCCGCACTCCCAGAGAGAGAGAGAGAGAGAGAGAAAAAAAAACAAAGAGAGAGAGAGAGAGAGAGAGCGGGAGAGAGGGAGAGAGAGAGAGGGAGAGAGGGAGAGCGAGAGACCGTCCAAACAGCAGAGAAAAGAGACGCAAGCTGGCTGCTTGATACTTACAGGTTGTGACAATTTTGCCGCTCATTTTCTGATAATCATCTGGAAAGATGGGGCAAACCTTGCCAGAAGCCGACTTTTTGACCTTTTGGTTTTTCATTTTTGTTTGGTCCACTTTTAGTAAAAGTAGTCCCCAAACAACCTTGGGGAAATGAAACACCCGGTTTTCGGTTTGGGCTCCCGCGTCTCAAATTCGGATCAATGCTTCGCGCTTCGCGCGTCGCTTGTTTTTGGGGTGTTGAGGCCCAGCGCTAGCTGTCCATAGGGTCCAACACGTGGAGCTTGCCGGGGATTACTCACCCACTCGGATATTCATGTGAAAGAGCATAGGGGCTAACTATCACATGATTATTTATATATATATATATTATGTGTATATCTATATACACATGATTTATTTTGGCTTAGAGCCCCTCCCCACGGAAAAGATGCAGGCCCTTCTACCGGTCGAAGACATGGTCTCTTCGAGCCTGGGAGTGACCGAGGCGTCAACCTCTATGAGGTGCTGAAGCAGAACTCCTTCAGGGGCGTGCGCGGAGCCGAGCGACGGATTTTCATGGAGGGCAAGTTATAAGGGTGTTTCTCGAAATAATTCCTTGAAATGCTTAAAATGATGTGTTTCCGTTGGGTTTCCCTTCAAATAACAACAACATGCCTGCTGAAATTCGCGAACTGGCGGTTTGGGTTTCCTCTGGGTTTCCCAACCAAAGCCTTGGTCCACTCAGAGCAAGCCAAAATCAACCGAACATGTTCGGGGGCCCTACGAAAGGAAGCTCCGTCTCTCGAACCAAGGCCTGGTCGGCCCACATGTGCACAGCGCCGCGACAGTCTGTAACGCATGTAAAGAGTTTCCGCACCCGGGTGACACCCCGTGGACATGAGGGCGCATCCCACCATACTGCATGCAGGGTCCAAAGAATCGCAGGGGCTGTCACGGACAACAGTCCTGCCATTGCCTGGCACGGTTCTTCCACCTCCACGTGAGCCACACTCAATACCCGGGTAAGTGAAGGTTAGTAAGGGACGATCCCAGCCATAAATCGCTTCGGATATCTGCCTTAGTTCTTTACATGCTTTTGGGTCGACCATTTGTGTAACCGGGTTTTGATGGTGACTGACGTGCTCCGGGGAACTTGTCAAGGTCCATGGCCTTGATCCGCGTGCTTACAGATCAGCTGCTCAAGGCCCGATCGATCCCTCAGCTTTTGATAGGGGGGAGGTGGGTTGGGGCAGAGTGACGCCCCCCCAAATTGGTGTTTCCCAGCCGTCCGGTTCCTTGGGTTTTGAGTTGTCTTTAGTTTGTTTTTGTCTTTAGCCGGTTTAGTGGATGGGTTTGCATTTAACACAAGTTAAACTTTTAGCAGGGGATCTGAGGACAGCCCAGGAAAATGGGCACGGGTTTGCTTTTTGGTTGCCGAAGTGCCAAACAGCAAGTCCGTTTTGGTGAACCCCAAGAAAAATGGGCAAGGGCTTCCAGTTGGTTGCCCGAATGCCAATTAAAAGGGGTCCGAAATCCATGTTGTGAAAGACTCATCTGGCGGTGAGTGTTTTTGAGGCTCAGTACCTTCTCTTTTTTTGGGGCGGATCAAGTTTTTGGTTGTTTGAAGTCAACCGCGTTTCAGTGAGCTAAATGTTGTGGCCTCGGCCTAATCTTCAATATTTACTGTACTGGGTGCTAATACTGTGGATGGACGAAATCCTGCACCACCTAAGAAACCCTGGAATGATGATTCCCCTGTAAATACCAACAAACAATGGATTCCTATGGTTTCCAAGTGGTGCAGGATTTCGTCCATCCACAGTATGTC